CTGCAGGATTCCTGAAGGGCGGGGCTCAACAGTCCACATCTGCAGACCTGCTTTTTTATTAAAGCGCATTAGTGGAAACTTAAAAGCAGTTGGCAGCTGGTATCCTAATGCCTGGCTTTCATCCAGTCTTGTTGTGTTTGATCTCCTTATGATTCGGTGGCTGCATGATAAATGACATTTAACCGTCTTTTATTGTTTCATTTATGCCGTATAACTACTTTAACGTCTTCTGATCTAAATATAACCAACTGAAAGATGAAGAGACGTGTATGAAACGCCAAGATTTAAATGAGGTCCGTTTTTAGGGAGCATAAGGTGGTTTTAAACATGCATTGCCTTTTTTTAGTCTTTTCACAGCTGATCACTACTCTTGTTAATGTCAAGGTCACTTTAGTTGTGAAATCCATCAAGCCTTGTTTTGCCAAACCTCAGTTCTGAGAATAGATTGTCAACAAATGAGTCCTGTTCCGTTTTTGTTTTTTTTGTTTTTCAGGAAACATTCAGAGCTTCAGACAGTTTTTCTTTTTGTTTTTCTAACTTTTTAGCTCTGCTTCATCTTTTCCTTTGTGGTTTGGTTTTCTGCTGTTTGCTCAAGCAGTATATTCTATGTGATCAGATGAAATTGCTTATTTTCACATTACTTTTAGAATGTTTCTAATATCTTTTTACATTTCCCAACTGACCTGCATGCCAAAAGAACAATAACAAGCAGTCGTGCAGGGCAAAATATTCACAGATTTAAAATCCTATTCAGAAAGTTGATTTGGTCACAGTATGTCCAGAGAGGGTATAAATGTAAGTTAATGTGTGTTTGTAGTTCTTTTTACCATTGCTGGTATTTTTCCATTACCATTGTTATTAATCACTGCTGGTATGATAGAAAACAAAAAGATACTATATAATTAATTATCTGCTCGGGTAAAACAACGGTGATTTTACTCATTTTCTCATTACCGAAAACAATATTTGTTTTAAACTGCTTTTGCTCATACAAATTTGTGTTCTAAGTCGTAATTAAAAAAACAAAACAAAAACAAAAGTAGCTGGAAATATATATGTTAAATATAAATGAACATTGAGGGTGGGATTTAATAACTTTTCTTCTTCCCGCTCCCTTCAAGGCATGTTTTTTGTTTTGTTGTGGTTATTTGTCTCTATGACTCATAAATTTACAGCAGTAACCATTTTCCCCACTTTCCTTGGCTGGTCCCCTAAGATTCCTTTTTAAGCATCAATCTTTGTAGTAAAATATTCTGAGACAAGAAGGTTCATTAACTTCATGTAACTATAACAACTGATCTCATTTAAAGTTATATCATTGGTGATAAGGATTAGACTGGTTATCTGTTAAAGCGGGGAATTTGCTTTAAAGGGGAACGCCGTTTTTTTTACATTGTTCCCTTGATTTTCCGTTATTCCCTCATGTTCTACTGACCCATATGAGTTTAGTGTCATTTGGAGCCGTTCTGAAGATATTCCGTTAGGTTATATCCAGTAACGTCTTCCTATGGGCAACGAACTGCTGCTAGTTTTCCTCACATGCCTGGAAGATGTCTAGAGCTGCTACCTCAGATGATCTCGCCAAAAGATGAACGATTCAGATGAGCTAGAATGAATAGAAGGGGTAGAGCGTAGCCGCCTGTGGCCCGGGCTGCCTGTCACAACTCCAGTCCCGCGCGCGGATGATGTCATACACACGCCGCTTTGTTTTTTGTTCACCTCATGGATTTGCATTTTAAATTGGTTTGTAAACATTTTAATTGTTCTTAATTAGTTATTTTTTCACATCCCAAATCCTTCAAGATAAACTTCTGTTCTCCAAATAAAACAAACTTTCACCTCATCTCATCTCATTGATTATGGTTTTCGCCATATTTTTCCTTCTTCTTTGTACATGTTAGTTTAGATTGAGGTTTACTAGTTTAGTCAAAAATGTTTGATTTAAATATGATTTACTCAGGACTGAAATGTTTTTGTTAATAAACTCTGATATTTTGAATAGAAATTGTGGTTAATTTGTTCCATATATGTGCAGAATTATCTGTCTGACCATGATTTAACTTTTATTATGACAATCTGAAAACGATTTGATAAATATCACAAATATCACAACATTATTTGCTGTTCGCTGGTTGGATATTACATAAATGATAATCCCTCATCACGGCCAATATAATCCTGGTTTCACAGGTTCTTGATCTGATCAAGAAATTATTCTCAAAGCTTTAATCCCTTATTTGCGTCTTACAGATTTTTAGGAACACGTTGTTTATGGTTATGTTTTTAGCTGCCTTAGCTTTTTGGTTACATTTTTTTTTCTTAAGTCTTGCAATACTCAAACTACACCAGAGATGGGAAGTAAATATCACAGTAAATCTACCTGTACTCAGGTAGATTTTTCTGATATTTTTACTTTACTTTACTACTTATTTTTATGCCGACTTTTTACTTCTACTCCTTACATTTTTACACAAATATCTGTACTTTCTACTCCTTACATTTTAAAAAATTGTCTCGTTACTTTAGTTTTGAATCATTTCAATGGAGTTACCGTTATTATTTTTCACGTCATCAATACCAAATTCAATCTAATTGGATGGGAATCTACGTTGCATTTGACGCACCACTACAAGATGAATCGACAGATTCGGCGGTATTCATTTGCGGCAAATCACTGCAGCTTGGTGGCGGTGGCGTTAGCATAGTAGCATGGACGACGAGATGATTGAAAATGAACACAACGGAGATCTAGTCCTATTGGCAGACATCCATTTAAAATGTAGGCAACGGCATGAAAAAAGTGGTTTCTACTTTTACTTTTATACTTTAAGTAAATTTACAAGCCTGTACTTTGTTACTTTTACTTGAGTAAAGAAGTTTAATCAGTACTTCCACTTTTACCAGAGTATTTTTTAACACAAGTATCTGTACTTTTACTCAAGTACGGAAAACTGCATCATTTCAGGACACAAGCTTGAATAAGTTGCAGTATAAACACAGTGTGGGTTAGAATCCCTTCATTGTTTTTTCTTTCTTACTGATGTAACAAGAAAACATTTTGCATCACACATCTACAGTATAGCAAATATTAATTATTGCAGTAGTTAAAGCTGAAAACCCAACTTTCAGCAAAAATAATGGATTATTTCTAAGTGCTTTAATTAGTAAATAAAAGTACAATTCAAACAAGATAAGTATCAGTGTAGGAGATGTATTGAGTTCATATAGGATCTAGAAAAACAGGATAGATTATACCACAACATATTTATAAAGGTGTTAAGAAACAGACTGAGGAGCCAATAACTCTTTAAAAAGGTTTAAGATGTGGATTTGACCAGCAGGAGATGTAGGCTTAGCAGGCTGGTGGCAGGCAGAGGAAGTCCAGAAGCTGCTGCACACCAGCAATGGGAATGAAGCTTTTTCAGGTAAATAATGACTGTTGGAGGCATATTGAGAGGCAGCTGGGAGGAAAAGGTTATTATGAGAAAGAAAGGTGTGTTTGCTGACTCTAACTAGTTGTCAGGATTGCTGTGTGTGTGTGTGTGTGTGTGTGTGTGTGTGTGTGTGTGTGTGTGTGTGTGTGTGTGTGTGTGTGTGTGTGTGTGTGTGTGTGTGTGTGTGTGTGTGTGTGTGTGAGTTATGGATCTCTTCAAGAGAGGATCTTTGTGGAGAACCTGGGTAGTCTACCCAGGTGGAGCTCATCAGTCTCATCAGAGTTCTGGGCTTTAAAGAGCAGCAGAGGCTTCATTCAGCGCTGGGTAATTGTTGCTCTGTCGTTTCTTGGCTCCTCATTTGTCTTTTTCCCCTGATGTCCCCTAGATTTTGGTTTTCAGTAGTTTTGTTAATGAGGCATCTTGAAGCCAAACTCTATTGATGCTGCCTTGATACTGTCTTACAGAATACCGACACCTGCTGGACATTTAAAGACACTACAGGCAGCTGATTGGAAACACTAAACTGAATGAATTTGATGAACAAGTATAATGATATCAGTTTAGGTATTGTAAATATTTGTCATAAGGTGAACATTTAGGGGAAAATGTGAATGAGGATTCTTCTGGACAAGCATTTTAAATATTTGTAAAACAGTGTAGTAAAAAAGTACATAAACTAAGAGTCCATTTGAAATTAAATTTAATTCAGATAAGTTTAGTGATAACTGAGAGGAAAAGGATGACACAACAAGAAAATTAGAATAAAAACCCAGCAGCTGAAACGTTTCTATTCCTTTTAGGATCCAAAATTCTGAATCATTTTAATGATAAATCGCAAAAGATGAGACATTTTTTGTAGCAGATGCATCATGGTGACAGAAACGTTTTTAAACACAGTTTAGTGAGTCAGTCGGTTAGAAACAACCTGTGACGTTCTTGAAACGACGCACAGCAATACAGTGTTTTGCTCTATGGGCTCCACACATGCACCAATGCATAGGTGTTAATGGACCATCATTCGTTTTCAGTATTTTTCACATTTGCCTCAGTAGCCTGTGGAAATTTATTAAATCTGCAAACTCCTCTCGGCGTTTGGGCCCTCAAAAACCTCCAACCAAACTGACACCAGAACAATGGAGCAGAGGAAAGAATGGGACGCAGCTAGAAAAAATAAAAGCAACCAAGCAAATGCAGGCTGCATTACTGTAAGGAAATAAGATTAATCGGAGCGAAAGGATAAATAAAACAAAATGTAATTATAAACATGTCAAATGAAATATTTAAACATACACTAGGTGCAGTTTTCAGTGTTTTAATGAGAACTAATTTTTAAAATAAATAAAAATGAAGATAAGTGTCATAAGAAATGTAAGAAGGTTGACTATAAGTGCTGAAACATTATAATTCAGGCCCCAAAATCCTGTGGCATGAGCAAAGAACGTCTATTGGGACGGGAACTGTAGAGGCCAGGAAAAGGAGCTTTTTTATTAAATAAAACAGTTAATACGACATCTACCTCTTATTCAGATGTTACTAACAGGTATGGAACTAAAACCACTTAAAAAAAGAAAAGAAAAGTGATTTATTTAAAAAATCCTGAAGGACAGATCTGATTATTCATTTTCATTATCTCTCTAAAGAACGATCTCCTTAACATGACCTAAAATCAAGCTTGGTTTTAATTACCTGTACCTATAAATTCTAAACAAGCAATAAAGAATAAAATCAACAACTTTCAATTTAATATTAATCTCTGTTGTTATTTTCCTTGATGAAGATCTGTCCATCTGGTTGTTTCCTCCAGCTCAGCTTGATGTCTCCTTTCACTCCGCTGTCCTGCATCTTCTGCTTCAGCTGTAACAAAAAAAATATTTCTTGAACATTTTGATTTATTGATATAATTTTTCTCAGCAAGAATCTACAGCTGCAAGGGATTTCTGCTGGGACGCAATATTGGTCAAATAAAGAGAGATGATTTACCTTCCTCAGCAGGTCTTCAGCAGACTTATTCTGATCCACAGAGGAGGAGAACGCCAGCTTCAGTTTTATTACCTGCTTAGTGTGAAAGGCTTAGAGAAGAAAAAAAGGTTTGTTAGATCGGAGATTCATGCTGAAGTTCTGAGACAATGAAAAACATTCATTCACTGCAACGTTTCATAGAGGAAAAAACAGATGATTAGAATATAAATCTAATCGAATCAAATTTCTCCTATTTTAGTTTCCATTTATTTCCTCCTTCTCACATATAAAGCCTTAAATGGCCAAGCTCCATCTGATATCAGAGACCTGATTGTTCCTTATGTTCCTAACAGAGCACTTCGCTCTCAATCTGCAGGTTTACTAGTGGTTCCTAGAACTTCTAAAAGTAGAATGGGAGGCAGATCTTTTAGTTATCAGGCTGCTCAAATGATGCAGCAGAATGTTTCAGTCAGTGAGTCTGGCTGTATGATTGGTTTGTGAGGATGAAGGGAGCAAAGTGATGGAACGACACACGGTCGTCGGTTTGTTTGAATTCTGAGTCTATGGAGTCAGAGAGGAGTCAAAATGTTTGTAAACTTAAACATTTTAGCTGATTCTGAAAAACAAAAATTGAAACTGAAAAAATATGAGTTGATATTGATTGTCAAATTTTTACCTTTTCTTCTGAAAAACTAAAAAAAGCAAACATAAAATAAACAGAATTTAATCTAAATTCTTCCCCTCAGATTGAAAAAAAAACATAATTCAGTTTAATATTTTAACTACACTTTTTATTTTAATGTATTTCTTTATTGAAGTTTTAGATTTTATTTCAGATTAAAATCTATTTCTTTCAGTTTCTTTTTTTTTAGTTTCAAGGTTTATTTTACACTTTCAAATCATTTTTTTTCATACTCAACATTACAACGTCTTTAATGTAATATTTTTCACAGTAATTTGCCAAAAAAAAAAAAAACACAAATGCTGCAGAGAATGTGTTCAACAAGTAGTTGGAGTTCCCACAGTCCATGAATGCAACATGGAAAGGGACATCTCTTCAGTGCTGCTGCAAGCTGTCAATCACGTTTCCCCGCCCACTCCTGTCAGATTGGGGTCAAAATGTGAAGGTGAAAACTAACTTGAAAGTGTAAAAAAATTAATCTTGAAACTGAAGAAGAAATTTGAAAATAAAACAAGAGAAACTGAGAGAAATGTATTTGAATCTGAAAATCTAAAATCTAAAACTGCAATTAAGAAAATAAATAAAAAAAAGAAACAGTGTAATTAAAGAACTCAATTTAATTTAGATTAAATTCTTATTATTTTATGTTTGCTTTTTTAGCTTCTCACATTATAAGGTAAAAATTTGACATTAAATATCAACTTGTATTTTTTAGGTTTCAACTTTTATTTTTTCAATTTCAACTAAGATTTAGAAGTTTAGAAACATTTTGACCCCTTTGTGACTCCATACTGAGTCCTCTGAAGGCCTGAAGGCCAGATTCATCGGCCGATTACATCATAGCGCAGCGCGAAAGTCTGTTCAGATTGGAACATTATGCAGGCGACAAATGCAGCCCTATCTCTGCCTGTTTTGAATGACTGGTCTGCTGTATCCTCCATAGTCTCTAGGGCATCCCATGATTCATGGCACTCTGTGCTCAGAGATAAAACAGAAATGGCGACAAACGGTGGTGAATATTGGAAGTGCAGTTTAATATAATACAACTCTGTGAATAGTTCCATCTGAAATGAATGGAAATAGTTGTTTTAATGGTTGTTGAGTCAGATATGTGGCGGTAATGTTTGGTTTATTGAAAGGTTTTATCTGTCCCTGTATAAATGTGTTTGGCTGATATTTAAGCTCAGATTCTAATATCTCTGCAGGGTGGGGACTATAAATCTGATATCTGAGATGACGGTACTGCTGCTGAAGCTCCTCAGGAATGTAAAGAACAGTAGTGAGAAGTTCAGCATCTATTCTTTGCCTGCTTTGAGAATCTATTTTTCCTGCCTCATGTCCACAGCCTTTGAATTACCCAGTCCATTTAGACCGGCTCCTTGGTGGATGCAGCCATCTTCACTGACATCATCCACACTTCACTAAAGCTGCAGAGTTAAGGATTCCTCACCAGTATAACATATGAAGGCGTTCTTGTAAGCACAGGTCCAGTCCTCCCATTTCCCACCATTTCCAAAGTTTGCAACAGCACAATTCTCATTATTGTTTTTGTTATTGGGTTCATTGTCCCTCCAGAACCTGAATGAGGGGTTTGTTCCATCCACCCACTTCCAGGTATCTCGATACAGACCGATCCAGACTTTAGCTCCTGCTGGTAACAGCTGGTTGATCTTCTGGTTATCCATCCAGTTCCTCACACTGGCGAGGTCTGAGTGATGTTCTCTGCAGTAGCTCTGAGCTGCATGCCACTGCATGCCAGTGTTGATTCGAACAAAGGTCACAGTTGTCCCTAAAATTAGACCATTTAAGGATTGATCCTAGGGTTATAGAAACTATTTCAAATATTTCTATGGTATGAATGTACTGAAGATAACTATCAATAAAAAAGATAATCATTATCTAAAGAAGATACTGATGCAAAAGTAAAAATAATAATCATGTTTACCTGTCACATCAAAGCAGATTGGTTCTAAGGTGCTTGTACAAGGTTCATCCACCCAGACTCCAGTACTGATAATTACCCCACAGGACTCTTTACTGCCATGATTGTTTGGTTCTCCTGTTGCCCAATTCCTGAACTCCTTCTCCTCATGTTGGTAGAAGTTTGAATCTGACATGGACCACCTCCAGCTGTTCAAATCGTTATATAATCCAATCCAGGCGTCCTGGAAACAAGAAGTTTCACATACATCTTATAGTATATCCCAATTGAAGGCCTGCATTGGTAAAAAGTTGAATTTGTCCTGTTTGTGACTTAAAATTGAACTTAAACTCAAATGTTTGGTGGGGTTTCAGCCCATAAAAATCACTATAATCCCAAAATCTAAAAAAGATAAATAAATGAAGCTGCTTTTGAGACGTATGGTGTTTACTTTCTGTTTCGACTGCTGAGCTGCGTTGTGGTGTTGTTCAGGCTATCCCTGTCTGAATCAAGTTTCTTTTTTCTGTGATTTCTCTGTATCTGAGTAACGCTAACTGTCCAGAAGTACTTTAACTACTGCGTCACTTTTCTACTGAGCACTTGTCAGTTTCACACGGTTTTATTTCTGATAGCAAGGAGTAGCTAGCATAGGCTAGCGCTAGCTTAGCATCGCTATGGCTTCTCTCTCTCCCTCCCTTGACTCTTTTCCAACTCTTCCTTCTTCCTCTCCTCTCTCCTGCTCTCTGTGTCAGATGTTCAGTTATTCCTCTGCCTCCTTTAGTGATAATGGGATGTGTAATAAGTGTAGTATTTTTGTAGCTTTGGAGGCGAGGGTGTCAGAGTTAGAATCCAGGCTTCAGGCTGTTGAACATCCAGGAGTTAAAGTAGGCCCCCCACGTAGCTGTCCTCCAGCAGTGCCTGAGCAGCCAGGCGATTGGGTAACGGTACGCAGAAAGCGTAGTCGTGGATCTCTGCCCACTGGTCACCACCAACCCGTTCACGTTTCTAACCGGTTTTACCTGCTTAGTGACGCATCCACTGGGAAGCCCACTCGAGTAATTAGCAGTTGTTACCCCCTATTTACTCCATCCAGACTGTGTCTTGACCAAAACCAAAATCAAAGAAATTAGAAAAGAATTCCAAAGGAGTAAATCCTGATATATAAACTTAAATTAGGGCAAAAATTTTAACGATTACATTTGGTTTGTTTAACATAAGATCTCTTTCTTCAAAGACTGTGCTAGTTAATGACTTTATCTGTGATAATCACATTGATTTGTTTCCTTACAGAAACTTGGCTGCAGCAAGAGGATTATGTAAGTATAAATCAGGCAAAACCTTCTAGTTATTAAACTTTTGACATAAAGATTAATTCTGGGTGAGGAGGAGGAGTCACAACAATCTTTTAGTCTGACTTACTGATTACTCCAAAGGCAGCAAATAATTAGAATTAATTTGAACATTTAACCCTTAGTTTCCCTCATCCAAATTAAAAAGCCACAAAACCTCTTCTTTTTGTAACTTTGTATCGTCCACCAGGTCCTTACTCTGAATGTTTAGATGAGTTTTCAGAGTTCCTTTCTGATTTGGTATTAAATACTGACAGGGTCATCATAGTGGGAGATTTTAACATCCATGCTGACATTGAAGGCGATAGCTTAAGAGCAGCCTTTAATGCTATCTTAGACACTACTGGCTTTGTTCAAAATGTGAATCATAATATTATTTTAGAAAACTTTGAATATTTAGTTGGAATTAAAGGAACAGCACTAGACTGGTTTAAATCTGATCTATCTGATCGAATTCAGTTTGTTCATGTTAATGATAGATCTTCCTCATGCTCAAAGGTTACCTGTGGAGTACCACAGGGATCAGTGCTAGGACCAATTCTCTTTACTTTATACATGCTCCCAATCGGTAGAGTTATTAGACAGCATGGGATTAATTTCCACTGTTATGCTGATGATACCCAGCTATATCTGTCTATAATCCAGATGAAGCTAACCCATTACATAGATTACAGGCATGTCTGAAGACAGAAAAACCTGGATGACTCTTAACTTTCTGCTTCTGAATGCAGACAAAACAGAAGTTATAGTCTTTGGACCAGAGTCTCTGAAAAAGAAGCTGATTAGCCAGTCACTTCATTTGGATGGGATTAAACTGATTTCAGATAATAAAGTAAAAAATCTTGGTGTTATTTTTGATCAGGACCTGTCATTTAAATCCCAGATCAAAGAGGATTCTAGAATTTCCTTCTTTCATCTGAGGAACATTGCAAAAATTAGAAATCTCCTGTCCAGGGGTGATGCTGAGAAACTAGTCCATGCATTTGTTACTTCAAGGCTGGACTATTGTAATTCTTTACTATCAGGAAGTCCACAAACTGTAGTTAAAAGCCTTCAGCTGATCCAAAATGCTGCAGCCAGAGTTCTGATGAAAATTAAAAAGAGAGATCATATCTCTCCTATCCTGGCTTCTCTTCATTGGCTTCCTGTTAAATCAAGAATAGAATTTAAAATCCTCCTTCTCACATATAAAGCCTTAAATGGCCAAGCTCCATCTGATATCAGAGATCTGATTGTTCCTTATGTTCCTAACAGAGCACTTCGCTCTCAATCTGCAGGTTTACTAGTGGTTCCTAGAATTTCTAAAAGTAGAATGGGAGGCAGATCTTTTAGTTATCAGGCTCCTCTCCTGTGGAACCAACTACCAGTTTTAGTCCGTGAGGCAGACACCCTGTCTACTTTTAAGGCTAGGCTTAAAACTTTCCTTTTTGATAAAGCTTCTAGTTAGAGTGGCTCAGGTTATCCTGATCTATCTCTATAGTTCTGCTGCTATAGGCTTAGACTGCTGGAGGACATAGGGACCCCTTTTTCATCATTCTGCTTCATTCTATCTCTATTCTCCCACTCTGCAGAATCTGTTAGTTCAATCTCTAACGTTCTGCTCTCTCTGCTTTTTCTCATAGTAGCTTCATCTGGTCTGTTCCTGTTTGGCTGTGACTCCATCCTGGAGAGAAATATCAGCTGTGCTGCTGCCATCAACACCTTTGTTTCTAGATGTTGGAGCTTGGCCTGTTTTCCAGTGTAGTCCTGTTTCTCTGACTGTGACTAACTGGATGTGCTCTCTTCATCCTCTGACATGGGAGCTGGCTCGGAGCTCGTCTGCCTGGCTGTGTGTTTCCTGGACGGGGCCGCCTGTGGAGCTGGTTGACAGTTGCCTTTTGTATCTATGCTTCTTTTTCTATGTCTGCTTCTGTCTCCTTGAACCCCAGTGGGCCTCAGCAGATGGCCGCTCACACTGAGCCTGGTTCTGCTGGAGGTTTCTTCCTGTTCAAAGGGAGTTTTTCCTCTCCACTGTCGCTACAAGCATGCTTAGTGTGAGGGATTGCTGAAGAGTCAATGAGTCGATGCAATCAGCTGGTTTTCCTTAGATAGAAAACTTTGAATCAATCTGACTGGATGATCTGGTGAACTGGAAAGTGACCTGAGATGACATGATGTGAATTGGAGCTATAGAAATAAACTGAATAGAATTGAATTTGCCTGCAGTGTGAACACATCTATCTGTCAGATCTTGTCCATGCAGGGCCTCATGCAGATGTTGATGAATTCTTTCAACAGTTCTCATTATTACATCTTGCATTTTACAGTATTTAATGATTAGGCCACACGATATGGCAATTACTGCTCTTCTTCTCCCTGAAACTCATTACTTATGTGAAACAGAAGAGAGGAAATAATGATAAACATACAGAGCTGTAAGCTAAGTGGTTTGCCATGTTGTTCAGAATGTTCACTTCCTCCATGTTCGTTACTGATGCCAGGTCCGAGTACTTTTCTCTGCAGTAACTCTGAGCCTCAGTCCAATTCTTCGGTTCGTTGATAAAATGGTATTGACGAGAAAAAGGTGACAACTCTCTGCACAGAACTGCTGGAAAAAACCATAAAGAACAATGGAAAGATACAGTAAAATAACTATTGTCTTGGAATATAATATATAAGTTGCATTTCTTTATGCTAAATTCCTATATTCCTCGTACTCGTACTCGTCGTCTCCCGCTTTATCCGGAACCGGGTTGCGGGGGCAGCAGACTAAGCAGAGACTGAATGACCGAGCTCCTCACCCTATCTCTAAGGGAGAGCCCAGCCACCCTGCGGAGAAAGCTCATTTCAGCCGCTTGTATCCGGGATCTCGTTCTTTCGGTCATGATCCAGATTTCATGACCATAGGTGAGGGTAGGAACGTAGACCGACCGGTAAATTGAGAGCTTTGCCTTTTCGCTCAGCTCTCTCTTCACCACGACAGATCGGTGCAGCGTCCACATTATTGCAGCAGCCGCACCGATCCGTCTATCGATCTCCCGCTCCATTCTTCCCTCACCTGTGAATAGGACCCCAAGATACTTGAACTTCTCCACTTGAGGCAGGGACTCTCCTCCAACCTGAAGGGGACAAGCCACCTATTTCCGGTCAAGAACCATGGCCTCGGACTTGGAGGAGTTGATTCTCATCCCGGCCGCTTCACACTCGGCTGCGAACCGCCCCAGTGCACGCTGTAGGTCTTGGCAGGAGGGAGCCAGCAGAACTACGTCATCCGCAAAAAGCAGGGACGAGATCCACTGGTCCCCCGAACCAGACCCCCTCCGGTCCTCGGCTGCGCCTAGAAATCCTGTCCATAAAAGTTATGAACAGGATCGGTGACAGAGGGCAGCCCTGTCGGAGTCCAACATGCACTGGGAACAGGTCTGACTTAATGCCTGCAATGCGAACCAGACTCCTGCTCCGCTTGTACAGAGAACGGATGGCCCCTAATAAAGGGCCCCCGACTCCATACTCCTGGAGCACCCCCCACAGGGCAG